CTCCTGCACCATTCTCAACAAACCCAAATAATTAAAGTTAAAAGTTAGGATCTGGATCCTCTAATGTGAAAATTCACATGACCATGTAATGTGGGGAATCATAACCATACAAAGGTGGATCAACGGTAAAAAAGGAGGAGAGAGAAAAAATGATAAAATAAGTAGTTACGAAATCATAACCGTTGATTTACCTTTGTATGGTTGTGATCTTCCCACATGACCATATCATGTTTTTTTGGCACATTAGAGGATCCATTTCCTAAAAGTTAACCTTCTTAACCATCAAACCACCATTTCAGTTAAATATATATAATACTAAGGGCTTTATTAGTCTTCTTTTACATAAGATAGTTATCTTATATTGTAGAGAGAAAATAGGTAGGTCCCATCATTACAAGAAAAAAGAAAAAAAAAAGAAAAAGGTGGGGTACGAAAATCGAAGTGAGAGAACATGAGAGAAGTTGTCTTATGTGAAATGAGAATAATATTTCCCTAATACTAAATACGATATCCATGTGACTTCAAGTCTCCATTTAAACATTGGAACTTTATTTAAGATACTCATAGTCAACAATACATACGGAGTTGCGGTTTAGAGTTGGGGTTTAGTTTTACATGAAATAGTCACATGTATAATTAGTGTTATTAAACTCGACCCAGGAATCGACCCGGTCGAGGTACTGAGTCACTGGTCAGACCGGTTGACCAAGATATATATAGATATATAAAAGTATATATAAATATGAATATATAAATTCAATTATATTCTCCATATCTAAAATGAATTAAACAAGATTCACTAAATAAGCTCAAAAACATGAAGCATAAATAAATAAAAAATGTACGCTATTACTATGTCAATTTAAATTGCAACTCAGAATCCCCATAAGCATACCTCTCAATGACATTGAGCTCATATTTTTCAAATTCAACTACATTAAAATGACATATGTCACATTCTCTTAATTTATTATTCCGTAAATTGCTTTAGTATTGGAAGTTGAAATTCGAGGTCATTGTAGAAGAGTATACTAGCAAATAAAATTACATAAAGATTTTAAAATGAGTTCTACGTTTTTTCTGACATGATGAAACAATTTTGATTTTTTTAAATGCATGACCCAACCGGCTCACCAGGTCACTGGGTTTGACCGATTTTGTTCGGATCGATGCATGACCGGTCTAATGCTTGACCCGAACCGGTCCGATAACCGGGTCGCCAGGTTCCGGGTCAACCCGGCCGGGTCGGGCCTAGTTTTACAACAGTGTATATAATTACAGAGAATTAGTTCGCTTAATTTGTTAAAAAAAATAGCTAACACAATATAAAATATATTTTATTTAATTAATCCCTTTATATATATATATATATATATAACAATTAATATTTCTCATGTTATAAGAGATAATTTATTCTCCTACACATACATAAAAAAATGTGAGATCCATGTAGGGCTATACGAAGAGGAGAGAAAAAGAAAACATTAGCTCTACACACTTTTATGTGTGTAAGAGAAAAAATCATATCCTACAACATAAGAAACATCAATCTCTGTGTGTGTGTGTGATAGTATGCTTTAATATCGGTGTCAAACTTTGAAATTTGAAACCAAATCCTAATCGCTGATTTCCGTCAATCAATGATTATCATTTATTGGAAATCAAACTTATTAATTAATCATTTATTCCCAATAAATGATAACAGTTGATTGACAAAAATCAACAGTTATGATTTTGTATCAAAAGTTTGATATAGGGGTGTTCATCAACCGATCCAAACCAATTCAAACTGTGGTGACCGAACCGAAAAATCGAAAAAAAACCGCAAAATTTAATTGGATTGGATCGATTTTTGGATGAGTTGTTAAAAATTGACCCAATCCAAATCGATCCAATTATCCCCAACCTTACCATCTACTTACTTGAGCCTTTCCCCAATCATAATCAAAAAATCATATAGCAACATTCTAAATCCAGGACTCATTAACCCATCACGTTGAAGAAAGTGAGTTGTGCTTAATCTATGTTATGCTTTTTTTGTTGCTAAGAAACATAATATATTTTTAGGGTAAAGAATTTCTCCAGTCACCGGAGATAAAGTTACCTCAAGTGAACTCAAAACGATGTCGTTTTGGGGCAGAAAACAAGGTATTTTTGTAATTATAATATATTGCAGGGTTATATTAGTCTTTGTCATTATAATTTTTTAATCTTATAACCCAAAACGACGTAGTTTTCAGCTAACTGGAGATAACTTTATCTCCAGTGACTGGATAAATACTTTTCACATATTTTTATTACATAGGTTATTGTTGTACAACAGCTCCTCTATAGGATGAAAATTTTGATTATTTCGTATCTCAAGCAACCATATTATAATTTTTTTTGTTGAAAGTAAAAGATGATAATATATCTTTTTGTCGTACAATGCTTCTAGATTGCACAATAATCATCATACAAACTTTACAAAGCTGATACATATAAAAGATATGTTATTTGCCAAATAACCATCATTAAAATCTTAAGCTTTTAAAAAAATTGACAACCGATCCAATCCATACTGAATAAATTGGATTGGATCGGATCAGATTTGAAAAAAATTCAAACCAAATGGATGATTACATGATTAAACTGAAGGTATTAGATCAAATGATTTTTACTTTCAAAATCGATCTAATCCAGACCGCGAACACCCTAGGTAAAATAGGAGTAGGCACAATAACCTATCCCTATATGTATATATATATAGAAGATATACTTACCGCAAAAAAAAGTTTACAACTCTTACAACCAATTTAATCACCATTGATTTCGGTCAATCTAACGGTTATAATTTATTGGAAATTAATAAATATGACAAAATAAATGTTATTAATTTCCAATAAACTATAATCGTTAGATTAACGGAAATCAACGGTGATTAAATTGGTTGTAAGAATTGTAAACTTTTTTGATAATAAGTGAATCTGTTCCCATATATATATATATATATATATATATGAGATAATTAGAAGATGCTAGATTATCAAATATCATATGTTCATGTCATGCCTTGAAATATGATGGCAGAATAATATACATTATACTTATATAATTTTATTGTAAAAATTAGTTTGCAACAAATAAAATTATTTGGTGAAACTTCAAAACCAGATTATTTTGAGATTTGGGAGAAAAAATAAGTGCATTTGAGAATTTTACTTTTTTATTGTAATATAAATTTTTTCAAAGTATCATTTAATCAAACTCATAATAACCTCATTATGAGTTATAAGAGATAATTTTAACTCCTATTACAAGAGAAATGTAAAAATATGTAAATGATAATTCTATCATTACTAAGTTGTTTCTAAAACATTTATTGCAAAAAAAAAAAAAAAAAAAAATTTATTTGTGTTACAACTTACAAGTCCCACATTGTTTGCCTATACAACTATTGTGCGGTTTATAAGGTCGTGAGCATTCCCACCCTTCAGGTATTTTTTGAGGTGATGACCTCAAGGTCCGTAATAATTAGTACTTTCATTGAGATTTGAGGCCATAAAAAAAGCTACTTATAGGCTGGATTAATATGGTAACCTTAAGATCTGTAATAATTTGTAAACTTTACTTTGTTTGAGATTTAGAGTGTGGTAATTTTTCTTCTTCAAATTTAAAAATAAAAATAAAAATTGTACAATATGCAAAAATTACAATGAGAATCAAGTTTTGAAACACTGTATATAAGTATTTTTTAAATTACAATGAGAACAAAATGGGCCATCAAGATTAGTTTATTTCTGTCTTTTTTCCTCCAGATATTTTAAAACACTATAAAACAATTATTTAGTACAGAAACACAAGAAAAATGAAAGTGTTCGATCATAATAATTCATGTACGCATTTTAGAAGATATAGTTGTAATAATTCATAGTATATCATTAGAAAAGTGTGCTATATTTAATCATTAATCTTTAATGAAAAGTCGATTATGATATTTTCATTTCACATTTCCTAAATTTTTGGTACAACATAATCATCACGATTCTAACACATTGAGTCACATTTCAATGCGAAGGACATATGATTAAAAATAGCAGTAAAATCTAAAATGAGTGTTTTCTGGGGTAAAATAGAAAACACAATGGAAGAAATTGGAAGATGAAAATTTCATGATTACGCGGTAAATAGCATTTATAACGCGCCTCAGTTTCCCACTCATCCTCGTCAACTGCCACCCTGTCTCCTTTTTCCTTCAAGCTAGAGTGTTCTCTTTCACAGTTCACACCCCCACGATATTTTACCGATAATTTGACACCCTCATTGACTCACGAAAACCCCCCCTCTCGGTGCATCTAAAGGAGTCACGACTCACGAAATAGAACGTCAAATCGCAACAAACGGAAGCTGGGTTTCTTCACTTATATGTCCGGGGTTTTGGGTTTGTTAATGAGGTAAATGTCATTTAGGAGAGAGATAGATACCAAAAATAAAAATTACAAAAATTATTTTGTATGAAATAACGTAATTTTATGTCATTTAAAGTGACAAACAGTGTTTCCATACCGCTTTTGTCTCAATTTTCAACCTTTAAAATCACTAATTTTAATTTAATTACTACTCTGCCACACCCCTTACTCTCTATATATATCGCCATCTACAAATGTTCCTTACTCAAACAAATTTTTATTCACTTACAAGCAAAACCTCCTTTTAAAATAAAAATAAAAAATAAAATAAAACCCTTACATTTTTTAATAAACTAATTGTTATATATTTAATCAATGAATCTTCGTCATTCCACTCCTCTTGTTATTAATTAATCCTCCTCCTTCGATCTACTTCTTTCTCAGTTTCAGAGCTCCTCATCACTCCAAGCTACCTTTTTTTTAAGAACCCTAAATCATTCACCTCATGCCATTTTCAATGCAGCTTCTGTTCCAATGAAGAAGTGAACTACGAAAAGAAGAAAGCAAAAGACAAGTAAAAAAAAAAGGATTTTTGGCGATTAGAAGTGAAGAATGCGAGTGAAGGAAATGCACCCCTTGTGCTGCATCTCCCTGGAGAGTCCCGGGATCGGGAGCCACTCGCCGGAGCCAGACGCGGCGGCGCTGTCCAGAACCAGGAGCCTTCCGGCGAGTTTTGCGGCGGGTGGATCTGACGGAAGTTTGCATCGGGGATCGGAGACCACGGTGGCCGGCGTGCTCTACAAGTGGACCAATTTCGGCAAGGGCTGGAGATCCCGGTGGTTCCTTCTGCGCAATGGCGTCCTTTCTTACTCCAAGATCCGGTGGCCGGAGAATCTCAATCTGCTGACCCCCGTCGACGACGTTCGCCTGATCGGAGAAGTATCCGCCAACCGCCTCGCCAGGATGGACAGAGACGGCGGCGGCAATAATCGCCGGAAGAACCACAAACCTCCTCTTTCTTCTTCTTCTTCTTCTTCTTCCGGCGTGGTCCATCTCAAGGTAAACACTAACTACGTACAATTCTTCTCCTTCTTCTCATTATTCATTTTTATTTATTTATTTATTTTAATTATGGAAAATTAAGAAAGGTTCATCTTTGATGGTAGTGGTGGTGATGATCTGAATCACCCGTTATACTGTGGGTCAGGTCTTGGTCTTGCTTTGGCAGTGTCGTGGTCACCATTTTGGCGCTACCTCACTGCAACTTTCCTGTAGAGGCAACGTTTTTTTATTTCAAAATAATCACCATGTTATTTATTTTATTTTTATTTTTATCTTTTTTTGTTTTAAAATTTTACCATAGTGTAATTACTAACGCAATGCAAAGATTTGATTGATTTCCTCGGCCATGAAAATTATCAACAATGATTCGGATTTAGATTGTTCTTTTGCCAGTGGAAAAGGGGTGAGAGAAAATCGCAACAAGGCTTTGATGACCGAGCAGCAATGTCGAAACCCGTGGGTTTCTACTATGATTCGCTTCCCCCCTCTTCGTTTCTCAATGCTCATGTTTTTCTCTCTCATCTGGGTTTCGTGGTTTCAATTTCAAAATTGCAACTTTTTTAATTCCTGTTTTACAGTTTTAACTGGTTGTTAATGTTTAGTGGGTCACATCAACAGGTGACCGTGAAGGGGGAGGGTGGGGATAGCCTACAATTAGCCCTATGGTATTAAGTTGCGGTCACATCATCCCTCTCTGCCTTCCCTTCTTCGGCATTGGTTGGAATGTATTTCTCATTTCTTTCTTAATAGCCTCACCCTCACCATTCAAATTTGCTTCTTCCTCACACCAACGCTATTTTTTTTTTTTCTGAAAATCCAACCTTAATGTCTTGCCATTTAAGCCTAAAAAAGTGCATGCCTAAGCATACTGACGGTGGTGGCGTATTTTATTGGCTTATTGTTTTCGCTTTTCAATAACGGCAACAGAAGACTTGAAGTTGAAGGCGTTACATTCTAGAGCAGAATAAACAAATATTAACAGTGCGGTGATCTAATTAGGGATCTTGGAGTGTGAGTTTGAGCTTCATTGTAAATTGTAATTCCTCGACGTTACTTCAAAGCAACCTTATAAAATGAGAAGTTTTTTTTTTTTTTTTTCAGTTTTTTTAATATAGAAATAGAAAAGTGAAAACATATGTAAAGGCCCCTCTTTTGTCTTGGTCAGAGAAATATATAATATATATTATATATACGTGGGACTTGGTAGCATGGTGGTGGGGTACCATCCAGTTCAATATATATATATATTTTCTTTTATAATATTGTTTTTTTTTTTACATCTTTCACTTCTATTCCGAATCATTCAAGTCTAGTAATAGTAGGCGTCATTCCATGATGTATAACTTTGTTTTCTCAAGGTGTGGGCTCTCTTCCCCACTTGTGCTCCTTGTGGGGACATGTTCAATAATCTTCACACGCACTTCTGGTAGTTTATACTTATAGTTGCTGCAGCTAGTGTTTCATTTTACTCTAAACTTTCTTATGAATAAAAAACTCAATTTGTCACGTCATTAGTATTTTACCGGCTTCCTGTTATAAACCAGGTATATTCTTTTTTTTTCTTTATTTAACATTGGTGCTTCTTCTTCTTCATTGATTTCAAATTAAAGTGACCTTATCTGAATGTTAAGCAGATCTCGTCATTTAGAGAGAGCAAGTCAGACGATAAACGGTTCTATATATTTACAGCAACAAAGACTCTCCATTTGAGAACTGATTCAAGGAAAGACCGTGTGGCTTGGATACAAGCTTTGGTGTCAACCCGTGGCTTGTATCTACTTCCACCACTCAGTGATCATCTTCCACTTGCACCGAATCATATATCTCTATCAACTGAGAGGCTTAAGAAACGCTTGCTTGAAGAGGGTAGCAGTGAGAGCTTTGTAAAGGAGTGCGAGCAAATCGTGCTCGCTGAGTTCTCCGAATTACAAGGGCAACTTAAAATCCTGTGTCAAGAACGATCAACTTTACTTGATACAATTAGGCAGTTGGAGGTAATTTCTTAACTTGTTTGTATGCTTAATCTTTGGAATACCACTGACAATTTAGCTAAAAACACGATCACTTTTTAGTTTACTCCTCACACACGACTTCTCCACTTCAAATTTGGTGGAATAGAGCATGTAGATTCTCTAAATTATGAATTAGGCTACAATAAAATGAGTTCATCAAGTGATTTGTTTTCTAAAGTAATTTTTTTTTTTTTTAATGATGGGTGAGAACTTGGGTGTCACAGTAGTGAGCCAGTTTGACAATTATTTATAATATTCTTAACGTTTCTTGTCAGACATATGCTTTGTGTCATTCCTCTTTTTTTTTTAAGTGATGAGACATTTTTTTTACTTTTTTTTCTAAAGCTTCAGTTTTCACTGCTTTAAAGATACGGTTTGTAATATTTCCAACTTTGTTTTGGCTCCCCAAAATTAATGCCAATTTGACTAACAACTTAACGGTGATTTTTTCTTCTTCTAAATTATATGTAAAATTTCTTGTCATGGTTCTATTCTATCAAATGCTAAAAGTTGTATAAAATCCTTTTTTTTGGGTCTTGCCCAATTCGTATAATTCTACCCTGGAGATTGGAGATAGATTTCCATATTCTCAATTGATGTATTTTCTTTAAATTACTGGTGCGTGTGCTATTTTTTCCTGAACTGCTGCTTATTATTTTGAATTTACTGTATTGGTACATTATTACATTGTTGTACTTCGAAGTTTGTAAAACACATGGATATATATTTGCTCTAGCTTCGTATGATGAGACAAGCTACTAATCTATTGGTGCAACTTAAATGAAAATGGTATTGTTTTGATAGAAAGTAGAAACTAGAACTAGGTCAAATTGCATATGTTAGATGACATGATATGTTTGGTTCATTTGGTCATGCATTTTGGCTGATCTCAGATCTGTTGGTTTTTCTGAAATTCATATCACCAGTGACTTCGTTTGATGGTATTACTTTTTTTCTGACACCTTCCCCCACCCAAAGATTGTATTTCATGATACTAATAATTGATTAACACTTGTCATCCGCCCCCCCCCGCGGGGTCATATTTTATTCTTTTATTCTACTATGTTTTCAGTATGCTGATTTCTGCATGCCAACATGTGCTTAGTTTCTAGATGTGGAAGCTTTTGTTCCTGTATATATATTCAACTTACTAAAGTAATCTTTCATTATTGATCATGAACAGGCAGCTAATATCGAACCTGAGGCCTCTGCCTTGCATGATGGTGAATACCAATTAACAAAGAATGAATTTTCAAATCTAGGACGTGGAAAATATAGTGGTACCACTTTATATGTTACTTATATGCTTCTCATTATAATTTATACATATGCTGTGACTTTTCTTTTTCTTATTTGATGTAATAAGCATGTGCTTGTATTCAGAATCTTTGTTGTCTTATATACTCTTATATGAACTGGAAGATTATTGCTGACATCATATGGTTTGCACAAACTCTTTTGAATTATAGAAAGCATTTTGCTAACTGTGACTAAAACACGAGCCTGTATATTTCTATTTTCTAAGCTCTATAGTTTGAAATCCACCTCTTACGAGCATTTTACAAGCATCTTCTTTCTGTTGTTGTCTCTAATCTCTAAAGATTTTTTTAAATTATCTTTTAAATTCAAATTTGCATGAAATTATTATTTCAAAAGTCCACAATTGATGGGTTATGAGTGCTTATGCGTTGTATGTTTTGGCTAGATTAATATTTGATGGACCTGGTTCGATTCCCTATCCTTGTTGGCCTCTTTTGTTAATTTCTAGTTTACTTGTAAGGGAATTCAATATTAATAATATAGTTCAATAATATGTTCACGTACAAACCCAAAAGGTGAAAGCGTATTATTTGGATCCATATCAGTTGGAGCCGAATAATTTGTATTATCTCTAAGGTTTTCCCAAAACTAGAGGTAATTTTGTTGAGTATTTCAAATCTGATGTCTAAACCCTTTTTGCTCAAACCCATAACCTCCAACATGAAGTTGAGGTATATAGTTTACTCAAATTTTGGTTCATTTAGGCAGAAAAAGAAAACTTCAAAAACGTGCCATGTTCATTGATGTCTCCACTTTGGATATTGTAACGATCATATCATTCATACGTACTGATTGCTGTCTGTATGCATGAAATTCCATTTTGTCTTCTGAAAACTGCGGAATTTTATCTCTCAGTAAATTTGTTTACAATGAACCTGTCTGCAACCTTTGATATATATGATCTAATCCTTTCCGTATGTAGTATTATTTTTCACATGTACTTTTGGTTTTCAGAGTGCAGCACAACAGAATCATCAGATGATGTTGAGAAACAGGAAATGGAGGAAGTGTCAGAAGAAGATGAAATCTCATATTATGATACTAGAGAGGATTTTACAGAACCTGGTTTTAGGTGTGGGTCAACAGGAGCTCTAGTTCAAGTGAACATGTCTGGGGAAGCTACCACACAGTGCAATGATATGGAGAACACTCATGTTGAGAAGACGATTCATGATTATGGGTACCCTCAGATAGCAAGGCGAAGAAAGCTTCCAGATCCTGTTGAGAAAGAGAAGGGTGTTAGTCTTTGGTCAATGATCAAAGACAATGTGGGCAAAGACCTCACACGAGTTTGTCTACCGGTATACTTTAATGAACCTATATCATCCCTTCAGAAATGTTTTGAGGACTTGGAGTACTCTTATCTTCTTGATCGAGCTTATGAGTATGGAAAATCAGTAAGATATATAACTTGCTCTTGATTGTGCCATTATCTTCTCTCGCAGTTTAAACAAAACAAATTTCAAACTAGTTTTGGCAGATGATTTTTACTGTCCATCTGGTAAATGAATTTTCCCTTAGGATGTCTTTTGTCTCGATACTTACAGTGTTGAATGGAATGTATCTATTGTCCTTAGTCCACATGTTGTGGCAACATATAATACGTCAAAAATGACATTATTTAATGCTATTGAATGTGACAATTTTAACGCTTTGAATTTTATTTTCAGGGAAACAGTCTCCTTCGGGCACTGAATGTTGCTGCCTTTGCAGTTTCTGGATATGCATCATCTGAAGGTCGTCATTGTAAACCCTTTAATCCTTTGTTAGGGGAAACTTACGAAGCTGATTATCCTGACAAAGGAATTCGCTTCTTTTCTGAGAAGGTTTGTACCGTATGATTCAATGTTGCAGAGTTTTGGCTGGGATATAGGCTGTTTTGCAGCAGTGTATTTAACTTGGGCTAAGAAGTGCTACCATGAATAGCTTGTGTTCAGTTTTGGTTTGGATATCTATAACTCAACCTTCACCTCATAAATGATTGTGAAATTTCCAACAAGTTTACTTTCGTAAGACATTTTTCAGTTCCACATTTAAAAAAAGAAAGAAAAGAAAGAAAGAAAAATGTTAACTTAGATTGAGAAGTGGGACGAAAGTAAAGAGGATACCGTTCTAATTGGGCTTAGGCATGCAACAATTAACCTGCCAATATATGATGTTTTCTCACAGCAATTATCTTTGAAACAGGTAAGTCACCATCCCACTGTCGTTGCCTGCCACTGTCAAGGTAGAGGATGGAAGTTTTGGGCTGACAGTAACATTCGTTCAAAGTTTTGGGGAAGGTCAATTCAGCTTGATCCAGTGGGAGTTCTTACCCTAGAGTTTGATGATGGTGAAATATTTCAGTGGAACAAGGTGTAAATCGTGAAATGACTCTGTTTACTTGTGTATATACTGCCCAATTGTTCTAGTGATTTGGCTTCTAAGTTTCATCTTATATAACACATATAAATTATCGTCATAATCGTTGTTGTTTCTCCAATAGGTCACGACTACAATTTATAATCTTATCCTCGGCAAAATATATTGTGATCATCATGGGAACATGGACATCCGTGGTAATCGTCAATATTCATGCAGACTCAAGTTCAAAGAGCAGACGATTCTTGACCGAAATCCTCACCAGGTAAGGGTGTTCTATTAGTATTTAGTAACAACTTACTGCTTTATCCTTCGGAGCCTGATCTATTACTTCTAGTTTATTTCATAACCTAGCTTGTCCTTTAGTTTAGGTTGGTTGGCCTGCTTTATTAACTTTCTTTGAGTCCTTTGGCTGCATGTGGCCGACTCCAAATTTCTCGTGAGAATTCAAGTGAGTAATGAAGTCCTACATTGATTAAAAGTTGAGTAAGCAAGGAACATATAAATAGAAGGGTCTATAAACCTAAAACCTTAATATTTTAAGTTGAGATGTGATGTCGAGCTTATTTATTGTAATGGATTGCTTATCACTTAGTCCATTGGTGGTGGTCCTCTGGCCAAGTGCTCTAGGCCATCTCACAATTTCCAAAGGAACATTATCTTCTATGTCCCTTTTACCTAACATCATGTTCAATAACGTGTGTCCTATTTGTCTAATTAGGTGCATGGATTTGTTGAAGATGTAAGGGGGAGAAAAGTTGCCACATTATTTGGCAAGTGGGATGACAGCATGTATTATGTTAATGGTGATGTGAATGTCAGGCCAAAAGATTTCACTTCGTCAGATGCAACCTTATTGTGGAAAAGGACTAAGCCACCTTCAAATCTCACTCGGTACAATTTGACATCATTTGCCATCACACTGAATGAGCTTACTCCAGGACTAAAGGTATAATGATGAATTAAATCATCATTTGATATGCGTTTTCCTTTTTCTTCTTATGCATCTCTAATTGTTTGTTATAGCCTTTTCTGATCCCGGGTGTTTGATCACGGATTAAAGGAGAAGCTTCCGCCCACGGATTCCAGGCTGAGACCAGATCAGCGGCACCTAGAGAATGGGGAATACGAGAAGGCTAATATGGAGAAACAAAGGTTGGAAAAGAGGCAAAGGATGGTATGTTTGAAAACTCTTTCATGTTTTGTACAAGAAGCATGTATTCTATCTTTTCTTTTCCCTCTTGTTGTATTTGGAGTCCATGTTTGACCAGGTACATGTGAGTGGTGAATTTCTGAACTGTTGTACGCTAAACTTAATATTTATTTTTATAACTCTCATGTTTGAAGGCACTTGTTTGATGATTAATTTATGTACCCTGCCCTCAATGATACATGAGTTAGTGAAAGTGATCATTCATAATTAAACTATCACCTATAAAGCTTGGTTCATGGTTTAATTCTGAGATACATTTATGCAATTTTTTTTTTTTTTGAGTCTCTAGTGTAAGCTAATTTTGACCTTATTTTTGTGCATTAGCTGACCTCCAATTAGTATCAAACTAATGTTCTTATATTTGTATATTCTGATTCATCTGTTGTACTTGTATTCATAGCCTTAATACAGGATACTCAACAACTGCATATTTTATGAATGTCGCAGATTTCACTATTTTGTTGAAAAAAGTTTTTCCTATTATACCGATGGCTGATGATGGTCGTGATTCCTTTAATGTCTTTAACCTATAGTTTGATCATCATCATGCTTTTCATACAGTCAAGGAAACTACAAGAAAATGGTTGGGAGCCTAGGTGGTTCCACAAAGAAGGTGAAAATGGAACATTTCGATATATTGGTGGGTATTGGGAAGCGAGAGGTCTAGGAAGATGGGATGGATGCCCAAATATATTTGGTGAATTTCATGAAAGCTTGGTTGATTCTTGAGGTGCATCTTGATTTTAAGTTCAGGTAACGTTTATGTCGTTCCAAAAATAATAATAAATGTTTGATACTTGTAACCCAAGTCTTATGGCAATGACATGCTAATACTGTTGCAGATGATGACAATGAATAGAAATTAGTTTGTGGCGGGTTTATCTCTTGCATGGCGGCAACTTGTTTTACTTAATGGACGGGAGAAGAGTAGCCTTTTGGAACCTTTGAAAATGAGACCCTTTGCTGTTCTTATTGGACAGGTTTGTGTATTGCCCATGTGTTTGCATCATAGCAAAAACAATGGGAAGGAGTAGCAAAAATAACTTCAATCGGTTCTATCTGAAAGTTGCTTTGTGATTTAAATGACTTCAATCGCCTATGGCTGGTAAAGTTGTAATTCTATTGACCTAATGGAACATCATTGCACGTACACGGCACTGTAGAGAGCTGTGGTCCACTGAGAATCTCAAACTGAGGCTGTCACTTCATCTAGATGAGCAAAGAATTCAGCCTAACAACAGAGATTAGGGTGTCCTGTTAGATTGCCATAATCTTTCTTATTTTTTATTTTTTATTTTGTTAGTATGTAATTATTTGGATTTTGGGGTATTAGCTTATGTAAGATTCTCTCCCTTTATCCCGAGATAACTAGTGATTTGGCCGAAAGGCTATCGATTGATTACATTTGTTTGCATTTCCTAATAAAATAAATACGAGGTGTGTTATCTCATTTGAAGTGTGCCCCTACTTTATTTAATGCATTAAGCTTTGATACAAGATATTCCGGGGAGGGTGACCAAAGTGTCACGTTTGGACAAAAAATTTATCAGACTGCCACGTCAACAGTAAATTTTGTCAAAATGTCACGCGGCATAATTCGCTACACAGTGTAGCGAATTATGTATGCAAGTAATTCGCTACACAGTGTAGCAAAATATGTCACGTCAGAACGCACAAAACCAAAAATACCACATGTCAAATTTTGCAAAATTCGCTACATAGGGTAGCGAATTTTGCAAAATTTGACATGTGGCATTTTTTGTTCTGACGTGGCATATTTCGTTACACTGTGTAGCGAATTACTTGCATACATAATTCGCTACACTGTATAGCGAATTATGCCGCGTGACATTTTGACAAAATTTATTGTTGGCGTGACAGTCTGGTAATTATTTTGTCCAAACGTGACAAAATGATTATTCCCCTCGAAACTGACACAGTGACAGTAGTATAACAGCTCCTTGTTGGTAAGTACGAGAACGGGGCTATAAAGTATAAACTCAGATTGGGAGTTCTCACATGTACAAGTGATTATACGATGATTATGTTATTTGATCATAATTATTTGTTTAAAAATTATATTTTTTTTCCTTATTTACCTCATCATTAATGAATGGATCAATGAGTGATTATGATCAAATAACATGATTACTTTTTCACCTGAAAGGATCTAAATCCACTCAAACATGATTGGATTCTTTCATGTGAAAAAATAGTTATGTGATCATGTTATTTGATCACAATCATTCATTTAAAAATCATATATTTTATCTCTCTTACCTCATCATCAATGAATAATTGTGATCAAATAACATGATCACTTTTTCAATAAGAAGAAAATTCACTCAAATAAATGTGAATATTCTCATGTGAAAAATTCTTGAAATCTTAAATCAAAGTGAATCTTCGAACACATGTAACCTGCAAAAAATGAACCCAAATTGCAATGAGTTATACATAAACAACATTACATACAACATGTACAAAATTCATGTAAATAGGTTACCTAGTTTCATCAGCGTTTTCTTCAGTTCCACGTCCCTAAACTTAGTGTTGAAGTTGCTTCCAATGTACGAAGACAAAACACGTGATACGCAAATGGAGGCTGCCAACCGACATGATCCTTCACAGCCCTGATGATGCTGGGGTGACGATCAGATATTAGACAGATACCATGCCTACGTGTGACATGGAAACGCATCTGGCTAAGAAACCACAACCAATCATCCAATCTCTCACCCGGTGGAACAATGGCAAACGCAATAGGCAGAATGAATCCATCACCATCCTGTGACGTAGCAATCAAGAGGGTACCTTTGTATTTCCCGTACAGGTGCGTGCATCAATTTGGATTATGGGTTTACAATATTTGAAAGCCTCAATGCACTGGTGAAAAGTCCAAAATACCCTGCGAAAGACAGCCTTATCGGTGTAGACTCGTCGTTCGTCACAACACTGATCCGTATCAATCTTGAACACAGAACCAGGATTTATCTGTGTCATGTAGTTCAGCCAACCAGGTAAGATGGCATATGATTTTTCCCAGTCGCCAAACAACTTCACAATGGCCTTCATTTTAGCCTTCCAAGCCTTCCTATAAGATATGTTGTATCCATACAAACTTTGTACCCTCTCCTGAATAAGAACTGGTTTCGTGGATGGATCTTCTTTTAACATACCTACACAAAATTCGAAGTCAACACAATCAATAAATATAGCGAAAAATTAAACCATAAACAAAAATGAATGTAATACATACTTATAATGGCTGCACAGATTACATCAGAATCTAGCTGTCTATGGTCCCGAGTAAGGCCTTGGTTTAGGCAGGTGTGTTTTTTACCCCACTTACTAACAACCCAACTATTTCCATTCTTGGGCAACATAGCTCGCACGTACCAGGGACAACCATCATTATGGTGTCGACACTTCATCACAAATCTATGGTCATCACTTTTTGCCACCACAGCAGTACGATGAGACTTCATACAATATAATTTGACAGCATGTTGCATTTCAGATTTAGTTCGAAACTCTTGGTACAAATATAATGGATCTTCTAAATGCCAGCCACCGTGGATGTCATCGTCGCCATACAATATCTCCGTCTCATCATTAGGGTGAGCCCAATTAATGAACGAATAGTGTGGGCTGTCGTTCCAAAATGGCTCAATCTCAGACCCTACGTCCAAATTTAAACTTATCCGTCAGTACGAAAGAAAACACAAATATATATATATATGCAAAATTAAAACTTTATATTACAATCTTACCACTGCTAACAGGGTCAACACGGAGCGGTGGCATAACCTGGGAACTCAAGTTTCCTGAACTAGTATCAGCGTCAAAATTCCCCTCTACGTCCGTATCTGAGGTGTCACCCAGCGGAATAACACTCTCGGGTTCACCATCGTCTTCACTGTCCATATCCTCGTCATGCCCATCCTCATCCTCGTCTATTTCCCTCAGTGGTATCTGACTTAAGACAGGTGCAGGTGCAGATAAACCGACCACTCTGTCTTCTTGACTTTGACTTCTTCCATGCACAGGTGCAGATGAAGATTGACCACAGTCTATTTCAACATATATCTCAATAAAGTTTTGAAATTTTCGGTCCACAATTGCATCTATGACACAATCCACATCTTCATCGTCACATATATCATTACCAATGTAGAATATAGCATCCTTACCAACTGTAGACTCTACCCTGGCGATCATCCGTTGAACGCCATGGCTCCCGTGTAGCCCCAATTTTTGGTTAATCCTCCCCTTCAACTCATTGTACGTAGTGCCCCGTTTGATTTTCAACATTTTCGTTTTTCCTTCAAATTGAACACCGTTGGGGCCTTCATAATGCTTTCCATCATAGTAAATCATGGTAACATACATGTTTGGACTTGAGCTCATCTTTCACACGAATTTTGGGGGGTAGGAATCAGATTTTAGGGGTTAGGGTTCGGATTTGGGGGAAACAATTGAGAAATAAAGGAAAATGACAATGATTTCACAATTACTATGTCTTAGAGGTGGTGGGATGAAATGGAAGGGTGATTGGAAGGTTCACAGCTGACAAACAAGAGAAAGAGACCAAGAGAGAAGTTTTGATTTCGAATATTTTGAAAATGAGCCCAAGAGAGGTCTGGATATAGGGTTTTTCGCGATCTTTAGTCGACTAAATAATGTGCTTAGTCGACTAAAAGTGCAAACAATTTAGTCGATTAAGATGAGTTTTTAGTCGACTAAAATTCGCATTTCATAATTTCTGAGTTTAGCCCATTTAGTCGATTAAAAGTGCAACATAATCGACTAAATGGGGGCAGGATGGTGGATAGTTCTGGGGGAGGGGCAAATTGGTTATTAATTATTTAATTAGGGGCAAAAGGATCAAAAACCCAAAGTTCTTATCTCATAAAATAAGTTCATGAATAAGTTCTTACAAATTTAAAATTAATTGCAAGTTCATTTAAATATTGTTTTTTGACTAAGGAATCTTCAACAATTATTATGTTCTTCTGAGTTCGAACTTTGGTACTTCATTTAACGTTTCTCTAAGAGTTTGATTCACTATGCTTAATCTTTATTGGTACTTCATTTAACTATTTATTTTACGAACAACAAACACTAAGAATTATACATATATATACCATTATACATACATGTTTCATTAAAAATCCCCTTAACGTTATAATGATCCTCAAAGTGGCAGAATTAAAATAAAAAAAAATGACCCAATTATTTTAACGCTAAGTTTGACCGTTGTAATCTTCTAAACTGCCATAAAATTAAAGCAGTAAATTTGAGGCATACGGAATTGATGTTTCTCCTATATATACACATAAAGTATATAAAATTTATATTTATATTTTATTTTTATTTTTAAATGATCTTATATGAGTTCTATATATTTCTTTTACGTGTGTAGAAAATAAAATTATTTTCTATAATCCAAATAGATTTTTATTTTTTTGAAAAGTATTGATCAGTTAACATTACCGGTCTATCAAGTCATATCAGAGAATCTAATTGTAAAAGTAGACAATAATCGTAAGGAAGCTGCTTTACGATCACTTTGCAAAACATATGAAGATTTTACGGGATCTGACATGTGTACAAGGGTACATGATCTGAAACCCTCAATTTCCTTTTTGAAAAGCTTTTCTATTTTGGAGAAGGTATATTATTCAATATATTCCACTTTAAGTTTTTCATTTTGGAATCAAATAATTGTAATTCAGTTGACTTATGAAAGTGAGAGCATATATTTGATCCTTCATATTATTATCTGTCTTAACTCTGGATCTGTCCTGAACAAAATTACTTTCAGTGAAAAATATATGTGATTTATCAACAACAAAAAAGAAAAGAAAGTTTTTCATCTTTGGTAGAATTCCAAGTGGCCACAAGTCACAACTGTTTCTCAACCCCATAACGTTGTAAATTATTCTTCATTGAATGAAATGGGTGAATCAACTTTAGTTAAGGGAGAGTTTTCTAACTTTGTCGTCAAAAGTTATACGACGAGAAGGAATTTCTCATTTTAGATTTTTATTTTTTTGGCACAAATAAAATTTAGGGTGAGGATGCAGTGGAAGTGAGCAGCTTTCTTTCGAAGAGAATATGTGCTTAATTAGTAAATGGGTTTTATAAGAATAATATTGCAGAATAAATTTGTTATGTCATGCACAAACAAAAAAATTTGTGGGCCCAGTTTTCTTTAAAACAAAAATGCTAGTCTGACTTCCCATTATGTGCAGTACATGGAATTGTTTTCCTGCAACATGAGAAAATAACTCCCTTTAGTAAATATGTGTGAAATAAGGATTAAAGATATAAATGAGCTCAACCTAGGTAGATTTTAAGAGCGTAAATCGACTGAATCTAGGTAGACTTTGATTAAGCCATAATGAAGTATTTTGAGTCTGATATGGTGTATTAATTTAGTATAAGTTAAATTATACGTCTGACCTGATTTATATTTAAAAATCAAAAGGTCTGACCTAGACCTATTAAATCTACAAGGCCCTTCAATATTTATTAAGAATTAGAAAAAACAAATAAAATAATATTATTTTATTAATTTAAATTATTTAAAAAATTATATTTTATATTATTTTAATTAAAATAAATAATACGATATAAGTTAACATGTAACTTGTTCAGTCTTTGTAAAAATAGGCCTATATATAAAATTTTACTTTTAAAGAGCGATGAGGGCTGCGAACCCTAGGAAACACGATGGGAGTGAACAAGGCGATCATGGTAAGAACCCTGAGAAATCAAGTGAAGAGCGTGACATCCTTCAAAGGAGCAATAAGAGGAATAAAGGAAAAAGGGACAAGTTCTCAAATGATGTGTCTATGGTTCCTAGGCAAGAAACTTGGATGGAAAATGAGGATGGACAACGATCAACCTGGAGAGAAATCCTGATGCGTCATAATGGTGAGATGATGACTGGGAAGAAGGAGAGGTTGAGGGAGAAGAAATAACAGGAGAGGAACATGCTGAGGAAGAAGATGTCAATCATGGAGGGATCAAGATGTGGGATGAAGAAGATGGTCGTACCCATTTTAGTTGCACCAAAAGAGCAAGAAACCGAATGCAGAAACCATGGGAAAAAACTTTGATCGTCAAATTACTTGGGAAGAAAGTAGGTGTGGAATTCATGAAGAAAAAAATTAGCACTCTCTGGGCGAGAAAAGGAAAAATCAATGTTACTGACGTTGGAAATGACTTTTTTGTAGTCCAGTTTAATGATAAGGAGGATCTCAACTTTGCTCTAAATGGTGGTCCATGGGTTGTCCTGGGTCATTATTTTTCGCTGAGGAAATGGGAACCAGCGTTTAGACCGAATGGTGCTGGTATTACTAAGATTGCTGCTTGGATTAGACTTCAAAATATTCCTATCGAGTTCTATGATGTAGCCTTTTTTAGAAGGATAGGAAATTGGATAGGAAAGTTGCTTAAAGTGGATAGCACTACAAACGCTCAAGCAAGAGGTCGATTTGCCAGAATCTGTGTTGAATTGGATCTGTCATAGCTATTAAAGGGAGAGTATGTCCTTGATGGTTTTACTAAGCAAATTGAATATGAAGTGCTAGGCCTCATTTGCTTTGGCTGTGGGAGATATGGTCATAAAACTGAGGGATGTTCTGCTGCTCCAAAGAATGTTGTTCCAAAGAATCATACCCCAGAAAACGATCAAAGTATGCCTCACATTCATGAGGAGGGTTCTGGAAATTCAGGATTCAAGCGTAGCATTGGGCTGGGACCGTGGATGGTCGTCAACCGCCAGCAGAGAAGCCGTCAACCAGCTCATCCAGTGCCTGCAGGACAGACTGGCTCTAGTTCAAAACCGTTACCAAGGAATAATGGCAAAGGAGTTATGATTAGCGATAATCATGGTGATAAGGAGGCAATCATGCAATCTCGTTTTCTTGTTTTAACGAAAACGGAAAATCCTATTAATGAGGAAGATCATAACCAAGGAATCCAATCTTCTCTCATTAATTCAGAAACTAATCAGCCGGTTATTCTTTCCAAATCGTGGACTAAGTCAAAAAAGAATAAAGATCCTACTAGGGCTAACATAACGGAAATTAAAAGCCAGATTGTTTCTGTTTCAAGTGTGAGTCAGCATCGACCTATCCATCAGCAAACAAACGACCATCACGTCATTCAACCTTCTTCCACAGACGCCGATCCTATGTCTTCTACTTCTTCCATTCAGCATGCTCAGGTTAATAGGATTATTGAAGATCCCTCCACTGTTCAGAATGACGGTCAGTGGCATGGAACTTTTGTTAAAAAGGGCCCTGATAGAAATGATGTTGTCGTTGATATTCCTATTATATGTATGGGCATGGATGTGGATAAAGAACGAATTGATGTTAGTTCACGTATGGAGGATACAAGAACCTCGGAGTCTTGTGCTCAACCTAGTTTTTAATGAAATTGATCTTTTGGAACTGTAGGGGTGCAGTGAAACCCCAGTTTCAGAAATCTCTTTCTTTGTTCACTCGTAAGCATAAGCCTAGCATTGTGGTTATCCTTGAACCTCGATGTAGTGGGCGAAAGGCTACTGCCATAATCCGTAAAACTGGGTTTAAATATTCATTCTTTTGTTCAAGAAGGTGATGGGTACTCAGGGGGTATTTGGGTTCTTTGGAATGACGAGGCTGGTCTCATCGATATTATACATCATAAGAAGCAGTTTGTCCATTTTAAAGTTCAGAATCCTTCTTTCCCTTCTTTCTCTTGTACTGCAGTTTTTGCAAGCCCTAGAGATGACCTTAGAAAGGATCTTTGGGTGGATTTGATTAACTTTGGTCTCCATTGTAATGAGCCTTGGCTGGTGGAGGGAGATTTTAATGAAATATCTCATCGCAATGAGAAGAAAGGTGGTAGTCGAGTTGACACAAATAGATGCTCCAAGTTCACTACCGTTCTTAATGACTGTAAGCTCATGGATCTAGGGGGATCGGGTCCTTGGTTTACATGGAAAGGCCCAAAGTTTTTACATCTTGATCGTGTTTTCAAAAGGCTTGATCGTGCCTGTGGAAATGCTAGCTGGAAGACCACTTTTACAGATGCTGGTGCTAAAGTTTTACCTAGGGCTTATTCTGATCATTGCCCCATTATGGTCCATCTGACCAACTTGGATAATGATTGGAGAAGACGACCCTTCCGTTTTGAAGTGGCTTGGATGGATTATGATTTTAAAAGATTCTTAAATAGTTGTTGGAATAATGAAAAGGATACAAGAACAAATCTGCAAGACCTGACGCCAAGGCTTAAGAATTGGAATAAGACAGTCTTCGGTAACATATTCAGCAGGAAATCTAACCCGCTGAACAGTATCGAAGAAATTCAGAAGCATGTTGACTATCATTCTGATCTGTCTCTTCAATCCAAAGAAAAGGAGCTTAGGAGGGATCTCGATACAGTTCTTATTCAAGAAGAAATCCTTTGGTTTCAAAAGTCCAGAATAAAGTGGATAAATGATGGGGATAGAAATACAAAATTCTATCACATAAGACAGCATCCAGAAGAAGTTGTAATAAGATTCTTGAGCTCAAGAATTCTGATGGAATTTGGGTTAGGGATGTTCGACAACTGCAGAACCTGGCAACAGATTTCTACAGTAATTTATTTTGTGAAGATATCCATATTCGAGACTGGGTGAAAACAAAGAATACTTGGCCTTCTCTTAATGTGGATCTCTTGGAAAATATGTCTCATAATCTTGCTGATGAAGAAATTTCAAAAGTTGTTTTTAGCATCAATGGCTCAAAAGCTCCAGGAGAGGATGGGTTCCTTGCTGCTTTCTATCAACGGAATTGGAATCTTATTAAGGCTCATATTCTTCATGATATTCACATGATGTTTCAGAATCCTAATATGATCCATCTTGTCAATAATACTCTTTTAGTTCTCATTCCTAAAGTCAAGAGACCTGAAAGTGTGAAGCAGCTTCGACCAATCTCTTTATGCAATGTATCCTACAAAATTCTCAGCAAAATTCTGGTTAACAGACTGAAGCCTTTAATGGAAGAGATGGTGTCTCCTTTCCAAGCTAGTTTTGTTCCTAAGCGGCATATCCAGGATAATATTATCATCACCTAAGAGCTGATCCATTCAATGAGACGGATGAGAGGTAGGAGATGTTTCATGGTGATTAAAATTGACTTGGAAAAGGCATATGACAAGTTAAGCTGGGATTTTATGCACAAAGTTTTGGAGGAAATCCAAATCCCACAGTGGCTTATAATCCTTATCATGAATTGCATCAAGTCTGATAAGGTATCAGTTCTGTGGAATGGAGCTATCGCTGGAGATTACCTTTCTTCTAGAGGAGTTCAGCAAGGAGATCCTCTATCACCATATATTTTTGTTCTAGTCATGGAAAAATTATCCCATATCATCCAGGATGCTGTTGATAATAAAAGCTGGAAGCCAATTTCAGCCGGATCTAAAGGCCCTAAAATTGCTCATCTCATGTTCGCTGATGACTTGATGCTGTTTGCAGAAGCCTCTCTAGATCAAATCAATATTATCTTGGATTGTTTGAGGACTTTCAGCTCTATGTCTGGGTTACAGGTTAGTATCCCAAAATCCAGTATTTTTTTCTCTAAAAATATGGATCCTCATATTGCTGATGAAATTACGCAAGTGTGTGGTTTCAAGAAAACTCACAATATTGGGAGATATCATGGATCCATGATGAAGCATGGTCGCGTTTCTAAAGTCCATTATGCAGATGTTGTTGAGAGAATTCGGCACAAGCTGGCTGGGTGGAGTAACCAGGTTTTATCTTTTGCTGGTCGTGTTACTTTATTCAATTCTGTTATTTCAGCCACTCCCATCTTCCAGATGCAGAACAACCTGCTACCTGTAGCTATTTGTGATGAAATTGAGAAGCTGCAAAAAAGTTTTATATGGGGTGACACACATGATCAAAGGAGGACTCATCTTGTTGCTTGGAATAATCTTTATAAGCCTAAATGCATGGGTGGTTTAGGGGTGATCAATCTTAGAATCCAAAATAGAGCTTTCTTTCATAAGCTTGCTTGGAATTTGATTAATTCGCCTCACTCATTATGGGCTCGTGTTATATCCAGGAAATATAGGCGAGGGGTGGATCTTCGAAGGGAGGTGATTCACAAAACCTATGATTCATATTTCTGGAAAAACCTGTGTAGTGTGTGGCCTTCGTTTCTTCAAGCAACTCGTTGGGACATTGGTGATGGTATTGATATGATATTCTGGAAAGATAATTGGCATGGTCTATCAGAGAGTCTCGTATCTCTTGCTACATCAATGCCTACGTTGAATGATATACATCTTCCTGCTAGCCATTTTGTGAGTAATGATGGTCAATGAAATTATTCGTACATGCATCAATATTTCACTGACCATGTTATTGCTAGAATTTCTGCAATCCCTACTCCTTGCGAATCAGCTGGATCTGATCGAATTATTTGGAAGAATAAGAAGGTAGGTTGTTCATTGGTAAAAACTGCTTATTATTCTATGCTTAATTTCCCTCTTGAGAAGGTGCAAAATACTTGGTCTAGCTTGTGGAATTGGAATGGTCCTCCGAGAATTAAAGTATGCATGTGGATAATTATACATGGGCGGCTTCTCACTAAGGATCACACAGCTACTTGGAGTGGTGGTCACAGTTTTTGTTTGTGTTGTCTTGGTGAGTTGGAAACGAATCTCCATGTCTTGCGTGATTGTAAGCATGCTCGTGGAATCTGGGACTATCTAGTATTACCTCATCGTATGAGCTCATTCTATAGCGGTGACTTGAGAGGTTGGGTTGAGAAGAATATTACAATGTCATGGGGTCATGAGAGCCTAGATGATTGGCGTGATTTATTCTTCATCTCTTGTTGGTTTCTATGGGGTTGGAGAAATAAAAGTGTCCATGATTCTAGCTTCACTCATCCCACTCATGGGTTGAAATTGATTCGTATGTATATTGAGGAGATGTACAATAGTAGGGGCAGGAAGCTTTTGCAGACTGGTAGCTCCAATAATACCCGATCTGTTAAGTGGATACCACCGAGAGTAAATTGGGTGAAGATCAATGTTGATGGAGCGGTCAAAAGGATTGGCGAAAGGGATGCTTGTGGCGGGTTAATCCGTTATGCTGATGGTTTATGGCTTGGTGGTTGAGTATCATATTGGTGTTTGTACTCCAATTATGGCAGAATTGTGGGGAACCCTTAAAGGTTTGGAGATATGCTGGCAATTGGGGTTTAGGAAGGTGGAACTAGAAGGAGATGCTTCTGAAGTTTTCTCTATTCTTGCAGATTGCAATGCAGCTTGTCAGTCGCGCATCGTGGCTAAGATACAAGCACTTATTGCTCAGGACTGAGAGGTTACTCTTACTCATATTCCTAGAGATGCAAATTCATGTGCAGATTGGTTAGCTAAGTCTGCTCTTTAGAAAGGATCTGGATTTTGGCATCATCAAATCATGCCAAATCAGCTTGCTCATCTTTTTGATCAAGATCTCCATGGAATTATTGACCCTGGATAGTTTGTAGTTTTTGTTTGTTTTCTGTTAGTTTTTGTTTGGGGCTATGCCCCTTATTGTTATAAAAAATAAAAATAAAAATAGGCATACAACGTATTTCCTAAACAAATTTTATTAAGAGATGAATCTGTTCCATTTTACTGAATATATTAGGTTAAGTTTGACCTGATATAAACATATTAGTAGACTTCTAAAATGTCGATTGATCTATTTACATCCCCAATAAGAATATATTATTCCCTCCACTGAAAGAAAATTAAAATCACAAAGTCAAGTGTACCTAGCAAGAGTAATGGCCACAAAGAGAATAATTAGGTTGTGATATTCTCTTATTTTGCTGCTGCATAGCTAGCAAGATTGAAAACATACAAATATTTAAATCCCCTTATCACGAATTTCACTTTTATTAGCTAGTTTCATGTTGACAATATTATAATTAATTGACTTTTTCGTGATTCTATTACTTAATAAAATTAGGTTTGAATTTCAAAGCCAACATATTTTCATATTTATTGTTTTGGACTGGCCACATAGGCTTAATTCAATGGGCTAGTCATTAAAATTCGGAGCTGAAATCTTACATTCATAAAGCGAGACAAATATGCTCCCATTACACCTGATCTTTTTCCCCAAGAACACATAGTTCACGCATAGGTGAGGATGTGTTGCCTCACTCGTGGTAAGGCCTACAAGGATAAAACATCCATGGCTCATTCCATCACACCTATAAATATCTCTCTTCTCTATTGAAGATATACTTTTGCACAATATCTCTTACTATTACTTTGGTGGATTATGACCACCTTAGAGTCATCACACCATTACACCTTTATTTAATCCTCAGAGTTCACTTAAGACCTACATAAGGTAACTCTATTGTTGAGCTTAGGTTCATACCAACTGTTTAAAATCGAACATACACACATAAGATATAAATAACTTACATACTCGTCTGCTACTATTTTGACCCTAATTTTCTTAGTAATTTTTTAATTTCCTTTCCGGTTTATCGATTACTTGACTAATTAATTCGAATAGAGAAGAGCAATTTTTACAGAAATTTTAATATAATATGGTTTTATAGAAATTCATATGGATTAGATTTTTCCAAAATCACACTTTTAACAAATTCGCGAGCACCAAATACAACATATACATGAATTTAATTTTTTAAATATTATTTGTATACAATTATATATATATATACATATATATATAAAACTTAGTAAGTTTTTAATATTACATGATAAAAATTGTATAAATCGAAAGAATTGGCAAAACGAGTTAATTCGCCTAACATTGCTTTCAACCTGCCAAAAACGGGCCCGGGGGTTGACTCAGCATTGGTGAGTGAAAATATCAACCCACCCCATTTTGAAAATAAATAAACATATTAATGCTATTATTTTATTTTGAATCTCTAACATCTAAATATTTCTCTAGTTTAAAAAAAGTATCGACCAATAAGTGAAAAGACAAAAGAATGATTTAAGCCAATAATTTTATTTAGCATAACTATACAAATCATATATCAAGATTAATAATTTCAGTATCATTATAACAAAATAATGACATCAAACATGTAAATATTTGCAAATGAACACATCATTGCATCCTGTAACTAGAGTTTCATAAGCATATTGATTTACATAGATACTAGCATTTAAATCCAAAAATAGGCTTGAGTTTGTTTTATTTTTGTGTTAATCTCTTTTTCTGTCAAATCAAAAGTGAATAAAATATAACCTTCTCAGAAAAATAATAACATTATGACCCTAAAGAAAAGATTTTATCCCACATAATAGTCATTTATCTACAAGTCATAATTTAACATTATATATTTATATATATATATATAAATATTTATATCGGGGAGGGTTATTTTTACAAATTTTTTGTTTACAAACTACACTATGTACTCCCGGAAGTACACTAGGTTACATTATGTACTTCCAGGAATACATAGTATAATTTGCAAAAATTTATAAACACATCCTTCCTCAGGTAGGATCCTTTGACACCATAGTCAAATCTGAAATTTGACATCTCATCTGAGAGCCATTAGATCAAAAAAGATAAATGGTGCACATGCTTACAAATCTGAGTCGTTCATCTTTTTTGATCTCATGACTCTCAGATGAGGTATCAAATTTCAAATTCAAATTTGACACTGGTGTCAAAGTATCCTATATGTCTCTCTCTCTCTCTCTCTCTCTCTCTATATATATATATATATATGTATATATATGTATATATATATATATATATATATATATATATATATGTTACAAAACTAACCTATGAGTTAACTAGTGATTTGACATGCCCCGTATATAGGTGGGTCACTACAATAAAATTGTATTTTTGTGGCGGTTTTTTTTTCATCTTAGCGACGGTATGAACCACTGCAACATTTTTGTGTGGCTTTTTTAAAACTGGCGTAGAAATTGGCGCCATTAAATATTTCAGAGTCGGTTTCACACAACCGACAGAATAACCGATGTTAAAAACAAAACCAACGTTATATATACATAACCAACATTAAAATAAGATAATTTAATAAAATTTTAATATTTGC